ATATATAGATACATATATGAGTATAAATATGATATATAGTAATATATATTTATTCGCAATCTATCAAATGACAATCAGCAATTTTTTTGAATACATTAATAGTGACAGGATTAATTGTTCTCTATTGAGACTTGAATCATTGTTGGAGAAACGATATCAAGGCAAGTGGCGTGCCAGTTTACTTGTCGATTATTGCTGGATATTGTTAGGGGATATATTATATATATATGTTTTTACTTACGCCTATAGAACATAGTAGCGTGTAGTTTTCTCGCTCTTCTTCCGACTAAAACAAAGAAGCAAAAACAATAATTTAGCAATAAGTGCTAAGAAATAGTGATATTACTTACTGCAGTGGAGATCATGCTTTCATCAGCTGCATTGTTTTGGCTSTCGCAAGGCAATGTAACGTTAAAACAGCTTTCCTAAAAGAAAGTAAAATATGTGTATGACAACGAATGATGACTTAATGTCACCACAAATATAATACCATAGATGTATTAAAAAACGGTTTATCGTCAGCCATAGTATTTAATTTTAACTGATTTAGCGAATCGTTATGCGTATAATCAATTTCGTGTACATATGATAAGGGTTGTTGCTGTTCGCTGGTGCTATCAGCTGCGGCGTGGGAGCTTAAATCGGTTGCTAAAACCGCCGGTTTTTCGATTTTCAAATACTATATAAAAGAGATGAAATTAACAAAAACTATAACAATTTTTTATTGTTAATACAAACCGGTGTCAAATCTTCAATAATACTCTCGGATGTACTCACTCCCCAATTATCGACTTTGTTTATTTTTTGTATAACACTCGGAATTTGCAAAACGTCTACATTATTTTCAGCTGGTAGCTCTTTGCCAAAATTTGCAGACGCATTTTGATTTTCATTCTCATTTGGTAGAATTATATCAACGCTCAATATTTCAATATCCGGTTTCTTTGTACTATTATTTTCTTGCATAATTTCCGTGTTYTCGTGATCTTGCTTTGATTTCTTTGATTTTTTTTCGTTTTCGTCGCATTGTGTTACACGTTTCGAAATTTTAAATCTGCGTTGCAAATTTCTGCAAAATGTGTGCATTTTGTGTTCCGGTATGACGTTTTCAACATTTTCGGTGCTAATTGGTGAAATTCCAGTTGAAATACACTCCTTTGTTTTTGTAGTTTTTATTGCGAGATCCTTAGTCTTCTTATTCTTTTCTTTAGGTGTTGATTGTGTCATAAAATTATTGGAATTTTTTAAAGTGTTYTCATTGTTTGTGAAAAATTTGGAAAATGGCGGCAATAAATTGTCGACGACTATATCAGATATTTGYAATTGGTCAGAATTCAATAACGACGTGGGGTTATCAGTATAGTTCGTATGTTGTTGCACTAATAATTTGTCAAGTTCTTGTGTAATCAATTCCGTGGTGGCTTTCTCATCGATTGATAGCAGCTCAGAAATTTCCTCCAGTTCCATATCAGCCCATTCATTGGATTTATTGAAACTCAAATCAAGCGGTTTTTCAATATTCATTTCATGTGTTGTACTTTTTGATTGTTGGCTTATAGTTTCTTCAGTAGAGCCGCAGTTCTCGTTTGTCTCAAGGTAACTGATATATGCTTTGTGATAAGAGCTGTAATCATTCATTGTAGGTGCGTCGTATTTAATTTCTATTAGTTTTTCTTCGGTACTATTAGTTTTCATAAGAATTGTTTCTTTGTCTTGAACACTGGAGTTGTTTCCCTTTTTGTAATTTTCTTCTTCATTGGATGCATTGGATAATAGCAAGTCTTCGCTTAAAGTAAATATATTATTGCAATCTTTCTCAATACAAATTTCTTTATTTGTCTTTTTTTCACTGCATGGGGTATTTGAAGTCTGATCTTCCAAAGCAGATCGAACACTTTCTATATCGCCAATATTTGGCAACTTTTCTAGTTTATTTTGGTTTGCTAGCATTTCGTTTGGGTTCAATTTCAATACACTACTAACAAAATCTTTCCTTTTATTTCCTGTACACTTTTTGGGCCAATCGATATTACTTCTGCTTTCATCATCACTTTGCAAAAGAAAGTTTTTGCTTTCCAAATATTGTTTTAGTGGTAATTTCTTTCCAAATTGTGCTGCATTTTCAGACTTTGTTTCCTTGTGCTCAGAGTAATTTACTTCTTCTTTTGTGTAATTACTTTTCTTAATAAAGTTTGTTGACTTTTTAGGATCTGTTGAAGTATAGTTCATGTGCACTTCACCATTGGTCTTTGTATTTACAATACTTCTAYCGAAATCATTGACATTTTTGCTTWCAATAGTAATTATTTTAGGTAAGATTTTTGCGTCTGCAGTGTCCGATTCCTTCGACGCCTCACTTCCAAAATTTTTTTGAAGGTTTATTTTGTGCCTGTTTATGTCTTTTTCTTGCAAGTTTTTATCGCTTCCATGCATATTCTTTGTGTGCTCGAAACTGGAAACATTTTCAGAATACTCCGTTTCATTGTTGCAGGAGGAATTGGCAGAGGCAATACTTGTCAGTAATTCTTGAATTTCTTTTTCTAATTCCTCGTCGCTGCCAAAACCAGTGTCATCTTCATCAGAAGTTGTGTTGCAGATATTTTCATTGTCCGAAGAGGTATTCTCAATGTTTTTATTGGTAAGCAACTCTTCAACGGTGTAAATACTTAAATCATTTCGTCCTYGCTCTTTTCCTTGTAATTCACAACCCAATTGGTGTTCCCAATATAGATGTCGTGCGAAAACAGCCATTTGGGAAAATACACTATCACAGTGGACACAACTTAATTGAAAATCATAGCGCTTAGCACACATTTTTATTTCGCCACATTTTGTGAATTCTAATTCTCCAAATTGACTCAACTCATTTTGAGTGTCTCCCATTTTTATCACGTGAGCTTTGTTTTACAAATATTATTATATATAGTAATTTGGGAGAGAAAAATCCAATTAGTTTGCAAAATAAAATAATAACACATGAAACGGGACCCCCAACCAAAATAACTGCATTTTTAAATGATTGAGTACGCGCGTTCATTCAAACAGCTGTCTTCAAACGAATAGTGTTTGAAAAGGACGAAATTAGAGGGGTTAAGGCATAAAATAATATGAATGAARTATATTGAGAATTTACATTATTTCATTAATATTTACACGTTTTACTATGGTGACTTCTTATAACTATATTTATGTGTAGTAATTTCGCTACATTACACATTATTATATTAATATAAGCTGGTTTCTGTATAAATAACCCGACCGATACGCTAAACAGTGGTGGCTATAATAAACTGGCACTGGAATTATTATTTGATTGCCCAATCAAATATGCGACACCCTTACTTTATGCAACAGTAATTGCAACGAACTCCGAAATGGATATAGTAGGCCTATAACTGAATCTAATTAAATATGCATATACAGATGAACTTCCATTACTCGAACTTTTATAACTCCAACTCTTAAGTTCAATTTCATAAGATTTTCCTTCCATAACTCTAAGTGTCTCTAACWCGAAGTTGCTTGTGAATTATGGTGAATTCGAGTTAGGGAGGTACAACTGTATATGTGGAAAGCTTAAAAACTTAGTAATTTTTCCAGTAGCAGCATACCTCTCATACCACCACAATAACATTTCCGGATATGCTTAACTGAATTATTTAATACATACAAACACGTACCATATACATATATTTTTTTAGTTCTCTTGATCGGTGCCCAAACTCATGAAAAGGTTCAACATTTTACCCATTTCGCAATCACCGCTGAGGCGCATATTGCCCGCCGTCGTGCACAACCCGCAAGCCCAAAGCGTGTGGGAGGATTTATACTCTTCAGTGATGCTCTAACAAAATTCAGCGATCGTTGTGTCAATACCGTGCAGGAGGCAGATGACTTACCCAAAACTGAAGTACAAGTCATGTGGGTGGCACCACCTGCAGGCTCTGGTTGTGTTTCCATATCGGCTATGGTCTACGAGGGTCCTCGCGCATGGTTCTCCGATGACGGACAATTAACACAGATCGTTTGTGAGCGTAAAACCAATGTACACACCGTCAAAAAGGAATGCTGCGCTTGTGATGAAGCTAAATACAGTGTAAGCGTGTAGTTGTTGTGTACATCCAGTAGTTATACATATATGGTAAATTATACGCACTTACATTTATTTTTTATAGTTCGTCTTTGAGGGTATTTGGTCCAATGAAACACATCCCCATGATTATCCGTTCGCCGTTTGGTTGACGCATTTCTCAGACGTTATTGGAGCTTCACATGAGGCAAACTTTTCGTTCTGGGGTGAAAATCATATTGCTACCGACGGTTTTCGATTCTTAGCGGAATTCGGTTCGCCCACGGCTTTGGAAACTGAATTGAGAGCACGTGGACCACGCTTGAGGACACTTATAAAAGCTGCCGGTCTATGGTATCCGAATGTGAATACGAATACGTCTTCCAAATTTCGTGTTGACCGCACGCATCCAAAGGTGTCATTGGTATCCATGTTTGGTAAGCACTAACTTAATGCATTTCATTGAAAATATGCTTAACTAAATATTAAAAAAAAAAAAAACGTAGGTCCTTCTCCGGATTGGGTCGTTGGTATCAGCGGTGTTGATTTGTGTACTGAAGATTGCTCTTGGAAGGAGTCGCTAGACTTTGATCTCTACCCATGGGATGCAGGCACTGACAGTGGCATTAGTTATATGGTAAAATATTGCTCCTGCACTTATCATAGCTAAAAATCGACAATTTCATGCTTTTACAGTCGCCTAACTCGGAAACACAACCACGTGAGCGCATGTACCGTATTACTACGATGTACCCCGAAGATCCACGTTCRCCATTCTATAATCCAAAAAGCAGCGACATGACACCGTTGGCAAAGTTGTACATTAGACGCGAGAAAATTATCTCTAGAAGCTGTGATGCCAATTTCTTAGAAGCCTTACAGCTAGATGTATCTGACGATGTGGAGGAACAAGACATCAGACGTATGTTTTGAAATKAATTTGCAGACATCTTGTAATTACAGCTTCAAACTCATTATTGCAGCTGAATGCCGTTTAACTCCATACACGGACTGGAGTCCTTGCTCCGTTACTTGTGGTAAGGGCATACGCAAGCGTACGCGTGAATATGTGAACCCAGAAGCGGCCGCTGCTGCTGATTGTTCACGTCAAACGGTGTCAAAGGAAATGTGTGCAGCGCCCATAGATGAATGCAAGTAAGTTTACCATATACATATGTATACATATAATCCACATTTGTCATTATATTTACATATATGTATATATTTCTGTTTAGCCAATCGCAAGATCATGATGATGATGAAGGTGAGAATTTAGCACACGCCTTAGCTTTGGTAACAGATGATGGTGAGGGCGCCGGTGTATGCAAGACTACCCAATGGAGTGTTTGGTCCGAATGTTCGGCCAGTTGCGGCATTGGCATTACAATGCGCACGCGCACTTTCATTGATCACACCGGTCGTAAACATTGTCCACATATTAGCACAGTCGAGAAACAAAAGTGTATGCGTCCCGATTGCACCTACGAAGAGGTAGAACTACCCGATCCGATGTGCCCGACAACACAATGGAGTGACTGGAGTCCGTGTACAGCCACTTGTGGACGTGGTGTTACCATACGTACGCGACTCTTGCTATTGGAGAATGGTGCAGTGAAGGATAATTGCACTCGGCGTATGGAATTAAATCAGCAAAAGCAGTGCAACGTGCCACAGGATTGCACCATTAACATGGAAATGGCAAAAGGTTAGTTTAATATCTCTATAGAAATATATCACATAATAACTCCTACATCTTATCATTCAGATATATGTGTGCAGCGTGCGGATAGTGGTCCATGCCGTAGCTCATATAAACGCTATGCTTACAATCGTGACAGCGGGCGTTGTGAGAGTTTCACCTATGGCGGCTGTCGTGGCAATCGCAATAACTTCCTCACCGAGCGCGATTGCTTAAATGCTTGCAGTATGCTGCGTAAGCACTTATACAGATATTAACGACATACTATGTATATTCATATTTATATAAGTACACTTGTATATATACATGTTATTTTTCAAATACCGTTACGTAAACCTTCAGAATCGGCAGAAACAACCAACCCCCATTTCATAACCGCCAAGCGCGCACAAACAAGCACTTATCAGTCGCCAGCATTTSAAACCGTAGATTGTATTATGTCTGAATGGTCTAACTGGTCGGAATGTAGTGTTAGCTGCGGTACAGGCTATTCCAATCGTAGCAGATATGTTATTAAAGAACCCAGAAATGGTGGACAACCATGCCCGAAGCGTAAGGTGAAGGTACGAAGCTGCGTAATGGCTGATTGTTGAGCAGAATAGCTGAGTTCGGAAGTGAATGCTGAAGTATCTCGCACTTGCTTAAGTAACGTGAAGAACAAATATACATGCAAATGCCCTGTGTACTTGAAAATAATATGAAGAGTTTTAATATATTTTCAATAAAATCTGCAATCTTGAAAAATCTGCATTACAAGAAGATAAACTTTGTTTCGAATATTGGTKAGGACACAAATTATTGGGTTTAAAAACTTAATTAATTCCATGGGTTGTCACACATATATGTACATACTTATGTATATTAGGTTATATTAAGAATGCCGTTCTAACTGTATATTCCAACAAAAATCAACACAAAGCCAAAACTCAAAAAAATTCCTCAACGAGTTTTGACAATTTTACTGTTAAAAATGTCTGCCTTTAAATGGCGCTATTAGTCTCCATCATTATCAAGTGACAGTATTGTTTAAYACTGTTTTTGTTATAGCAGTTTCCTACATTGCTTGTCAGTTTRAATTTGCAGTCTTACATTTCCTTTGGCGGTCATACATTTCCTTTCGCATTTCAAGCAAATGCTTTGTATAGTGTTCAACATTTCTTAGCAAATTATWAAATTGATCGGTGAAAAAAATATATATATATTATATACATAGTGAATTAAAATATGAGGTTTCTCATGATTTCCTGTTAACGGATGAAATCTATTTTTTATTTTGTTTTACTTTCATACGTCGTCAACTTGTGGCAAAATAACCTAAGTGGAAAAGTGTTTAATTGTACTTAKTGTTGCCATAAATTCTCTTACAAAGTTTAGTATGTATTACTGCGAGGATAAATTTGTAGAAAAAAGTGCTCTTACTTTATGCTAAAATATGTGTGCAGTTGGTTAAGGCTCATGAACGTAAAYCCTTTCCATTCTTCACTCCTGTGAAAAAGAGGTTAGAAATGGTGCAAAAGTTTACCGGCAAGATATTCTGGCAGGCGTCGTCAACYATTTAACCAATACTCTCTTCGTTGGAGCACCTTGGATCATTCAGCAGGACTCTGCTTCAGCAGACAGARCAAAAACCACTCAGTATTGGTTTATGTTGCATAATGTAATAGCAGACAATTGGCCGTTTAGAAATTCCAATTTGGATCCATCGGACAGACCCAAAAAAATGTGGAAACTATGCTGGCTAATATCGATCAATGGGAGTCGTTTGARAACTTGTGTGAAATCAAAAGGTGATCACTTCGAATAAAATACTTTGCTCATTAATATATGCAACATTAAATAAAATTAACTTTTTTTTAAATGTGTTAATGCTACATTTTTATAACCGTCTGAACTTTTAACAGAACTTATGGCAGGACTAAGTTTGTATAAAGTGAAATATTAATTTATTATGAACAAATTSGCGTTATCGATGATATTAATTTACCATGTGGAAGCTGGATGACTTTGTTRTTTTTATAGCTGTAAGTAATTCTTGATTTCAATTAAACTAAATTTATTTCGATTTATTATTTTAATTTTGTATTTTACGTATTATTTAATATTTTTTTGGCTTTTCACTAGTACATTAGTACAAATATAATTTCACTCTTAAAACGACAATGACACGGRTGGGTGGGTCTTGGATTATACATACATACATACGTAAATTCTAAATTATGTTAATCATCTTAAAATTTAATTTCTCTACTTGTACTTATTCAGCTTAAAAGCATGTAACTCTTACGAATTAAAAAATTACAATAAGTAATTCATATAAAACTTTAAATTATCGTATCAAAACTACAATTCATTTTTCAAAACACATGTATGTACGTACATTTAAAATCTATAGTCTTTATAACTATTGTTTCTTAAATATGTATGAATGAAAATGTATTTGGTAGCATTTTAGCTTTTGGAAAGCTTTGCAGTTACATTGACATAGCCAATCAACTACTATCATTTGATGCATTGATTTCGTCAAAAACTTTAGCATCAGCACAGATTTCAGACTTTTCAACRGTTGATATAGATTCTTCATGCGAATTTACTTCGAGCTTATCACATTTAACTACTGCAATATCTTTAATACTGTCACCATTCGCTATTGTGGCGAGTTTCTCGCTTGGTATTTCTTCAACTGGCACACTTTCTTTCGCCTTCTTAACATCTATACTCTTCAAAGCAATTATATTGAAAGATTTCTCCTCACTTTCGCCAGTACTGTGCTTGTAGACGGATGTTTCGATATTGCCATTTGGTGATGCACTGATTACCTCACGTAGATCGGTACGTGAATCCTTACAGCATACTTTGTCCACACAATCACTAGCGTTACACTGCATTAAACATTCTATAGATGGTGAYTTTGGACTTTGGAATTCCGGTTGAATTGTGACTTCAGTAATGCCACGATCTTGGAAATATGTACGTACATCTTCGATGATTTTTGTGTACAGGCGTGGATTTTCAAACATTATGTGTACAGTAGCTACTGATTTATGCGCTGACAATTGCCAAATRTGCAGATCGTGATAGCTAACGATTTCGGGGAATTTAATTACCAATGTACGTTCAAAATCCTCCATATCAATAGAACCAGGAATTGTTTGCAAAAGGATTAGACATGATTGTTTCACTATTTGATGTAGAGAAAGTAGTAAAAAAAAAAAAACAAAATAGTATTTCTTCAATGTAAAATATGTGTTTATGTGGTATACTCACTGTAAGGATAACTAAGAGAAACCAGTAGGACACAGGAGAAAATTGAGAGTACAGGATCGATAAATTTGGCCGTATGCTCTTCATCTTCGGCCATATTGACAATGAATGCACAAACTATAACGAATATAGTGCTCGACACATCACGCAACATTTCCACAGCCCCTTGACGTTTTGGCACATAGTGTATCTGACCAATTTCTGCTTTTAAATCATCCTTAAGCTGCCGATCATTTTCAATTGTCTCACTATTTGGCTTTGATAATTGTCGTTCATCGGCTTTTAACTCTTCATTATTCGAAAGAATACGATCTAAAATTACATCACCGCTAGGTGTTACATGTAAAAAGCTACCCTGATGCATTGTATAACCACCGATTAGCAGATATGTTAAACCATTTAAAATCAGTCCAATAAATCCAAGTATCATGACAATAATGGGTAAGTGCATCGTGTCTTGATGATCGATGTGTACAAGTGTTTGTAAGGCCTCCACTACAAGTGAAAATGACAGCGATGCTAGTATAATAAATACAATCAGCATGGTCAATATATCGATGCGCGTCCAACCAAAGGTGTTTCGCAATTTCATTTCACGTCGATGGCGCGATACTGTTGGAGACGGTGCTCCAGACATATTTACTACAATAATTTTATCTTTGTTAGAAACATTTGGTAAATTGCTGTCACTCTCCGCATATGTGGARCTAATGAAATGCTCGAGTTGGCTTTCATCATGTTTTCTGCTGTGCTGCAAACATATATTAAATGTAAAACGTTATTTTGAATGGTATAATTAGTTACTAAGAAACCATTATAAATATTCCTTTCATAAATGTAAATATTTTCTTCAAATTTGTTTGTATAGCATTTTTTCGAAAATGTGGCTTTATTTTAGTTCATTTACTCTAAAAATACAATTTCGTGGAAAACGTAAAATAAACGGCATAATATTTTGTAATTATATCATTATGTAATTATATATTATATAATATATGTATTTATATCTAATGTACGACTTTTTATTTATGAATGTACTTCACAAGTGCCCAAAAGTTATACCGAAAGTGTTTTAAGTTTAATTAAATATTTTTCTTCCAATGTCGTAATATTTTTTCCTCAATGCTAAATAGCGAACCAATTTCCATATCATTTAGTATGAAAAACTGTTTAACAACCAGCAGTGCTTGTAGAGCTTCACTTATGGATGGAGCATTTGTGTCTTCCACACTTTCCTGTAACTTATTATTTGTGTAAATTGGCTCTGTTGCTAGTGGCTCATCGTCAATAGGAGCTGCATCCACATGCAGCGTATTATTTGTGATAGCTGGCTCCGAAATCGGTGGCACATCGGGAACTGGAGCAACGTCCACGGGATCATCGGCAGTATTATTGAGCTGTTTGCTTGTTGAGTCTGCACAACATATCATACCTTCGTTGCATTCAAACAATTCTGTTTTACAAATTTCAACCATCGGCAACGCTGTTGTATCAACTGCGGTTTCATTCATTTCATTACTACATTGTCTGTTTTTTACACTGCGCTTTGTGGGAACACTAATTCCATTGCGTTTCTTAAACCTAAAAAGCCACTGAAAACAAGGCTCATAATTGGCATCATATTTAATTGCAAATTCCTTAGCCTTTTCCAATAAAGCTACATTATTCAATGTTGATGATTTTAGATTTCTCTGTTGATGAAACCATTCACATAAAGCGCTTTCTACTTTGGGGTTTGAAGTACTATCCAGTCGCGTTCGTAGCAAATTTCCATCCTTTGCAGCTTTTAGGTAGATGTCTTTATTTTTTATAATCCGGCATATAGTTGATGAATTACATTTATATTTTCGTATTAATTTCTTTCTATCGATGTTTTTAGACTCTGCCTCAATAATTTCAATTTTTTGTTTTAGCGACAGACGAAGCTTTTGCCTTCGACTTCCGTTCATGTTTCGAATAAACTAGTTATGACAAATCGTAGAGTTTAGGTACCTTTCGTTGACAGCAATGCTACTGTTTATCGGTTAATCGATTTTTTTACAACGGGCTTGGTCGTTTACTGCATTACTCTCAATATTCAGTACATACAATAGTTATTGTGAAGTAACTATCAGATTTACACCGATACGCTTAGAAATTATATTTTCATGCGAGGGAAACTCTAAGCACAGCAATATCTCGTTGTTGGTGAATTGCAGCCAACAATAAATYAACTTTTACGGCACTGAAAGTATTATTTAGTCGAAGTGAGAGAACCTATTTTACGCTCAATAAGTTACTTGTCTTGCTTGCGTTTACAATTCAATGTACTCATAAAAAGCAAAACCCGGCCTTTTCTATCAAAACAAATGTCTGACGCAAAGCGAAGCAACCCTGCTAATAATAATATAATACTGTGCTTAGACGCGGAAACTTTTGTTATACACTATGGGAAAATTTGCAATTATTTTGTTTTCACACAGCGTAAGTTTTTTGGAGTATCTTACAAACTGAGAGTTTCAGTAAAAAAATTTGATCGCCTGAACGCTGTCTTACTTGTCAGAATATTCCAGAAAACTAAACTACAACTCAGCGTCTGTATTTTAATTGACTCCAGCTTAAGATCGAGTTTTCTCTACTACCTGTTACACAAATACCTGCAATGTGAATGAGTGAAACAAAACGGAGCAATGTAGGCAAACACACCGCATTCACTTCAAAATTCCAGTTTTCAGCTGGCGTCTATTTGTACATGTATACATACATGCATATTTAACTACTTTTGGCGATTCAATTCAGCCAAATACTTGACGCAACATTTTGTTTGTATACAGTGTTTTTTGTTTTGAATATTCCCATAACATGGCATTTAACATTRTGCAATGCGATCCGTACAAGCTCAACGATTTGAAAAAATACATATGTATATAGAGTAGCGCTTCGGCTTGTTGTTGTTGTTTTAACGGCAGAAATTCGGCTTGTATTACACTGCTGTGCAGTATTGCACTGGCTTACTGCCGCTTGGCGGAATTTCACGCACAAATTGGCGCGTGCCTGGTCGAGTGTCAACTGTGTGGTTAATATGCAATTTCTGGTAGCGCTCTCGAGTGGCAGTTGCAGGTGCACAGATGGAAATCGACACCGACATACGCACATACACAAGGCAATTGTAGCTGCTATTAATAATATATACATATGTATATAAATTTCCGTTAAATGCGCTACTAATGTATGTATATATAAAAACCTATAAATTTATTTTTTAAATTTTTTTGCTCTAAGAATTTTCAATTTCGGCATATTTTTTTTCTTTCTAAAAAGAATATCTTTTTATAGGAATCAGCATTTAAATTTGTGGAATTTCAATATTGCTATTAAGTTTTTTTTTGCTTACATTACTAGCTTMTAGCTTACTGTCATTACTGCTATTGCTGCGTGTTTATTATATATCGTTTTAACCGTTAAGCATTTGCATTTAAACTCAATTTGCTGTGCAGTGATTGGTTAACCTTGAATGTTAATATCGTGTGCGCATCGAAATTAAAAAATAAAATAAAATTTTGCAATTTAATGGGCCAATGAACGCGTTAAAAATGCAAGCATTTTCGTCACTTAACTGTAATCGGCGCGCTTGAACGGAAATCCCGCTGAAAACCAATTTTCGAAATATTCGGTAATCAGAGGGGCGTTAAGCGGGTATGCTAGTATAGAAATTGAAATTTTTTGCYCACAATCCGATAGTTTAGATATTCAGAAATATCTCTAAACGGTTTTTCAAAATTTAAATTATATTTTTTCCAGCATGCAGCGCCAGTGTAGAATGCGACAAGTAGTYTGAATTTGTCCCAAGGGAGGTTGATTACACATTTAAACCTGCTGAGGTTGCAACCTCCCATTAGCAACCTTGTATGACGCATGCCTAGAAGTTGTTGCCAATACCAGTCTGCCACTACTCCTTCTTCCATGCGGAGCAGCTCCTTTATGGTATAGTCACCCACCGAGATGAAGGATTCAGGTCTTGTAAGGTCATGTTAGTGGACGCTGCGGAGTAGGCGAGTTCATCAGCCAGTTCATTCTCGGCTATACCATTGTGGCMGGGCACYCAGATGGAGTGCACTYGATTACGCAGTGATTGCTTTAAGTGCAGTTTGACTTTCGCTAAGTGTGCTTATRCGTTCGTTGCGATAGTTGCGTTGGAGGTTTATCTCTATGCATCTATCTATGGTACGTGGTCTTGCGACTGCTGTACSMATTCCCTCCGATGCTTTCGATCCGAGTAGCTGGAGAATGGAATCATTCCATTCAGCCTTCCTGCTAAGGGTAACCTTAAACTTCTTGGTGAAGTTTACCCTTTTAGCAATGCCACCCTTTGGRAGAAGAGCAAATGGTGGAAGCTAACCTTCTCTCTGCCACATCCTTCTGCTGTCATTTGTAGCAGTGTGTGTTTGGCTACCTGACCGATTACTAGGTGAAGTGGTGTGAGCTTCAAGTGCTGCCGTCGGACAAGTGCGAATTGTAGCTGCGATAGTTGGAGACTTACCGAAATCTGCGAAGCTTTTGAGRTCCMAGCCAWTTAACGATCYTTKGCTTGCAGCCTCAGGATTTGCCAGCTAGTCGATTGCATACCATTAGTGCCTTAGTCGCTTTGACAATGGTCAGGTCAACATGCTGCGTCCCCGCAGAGTGGAATCCAGTGTGAGACCAAGATATTAGACCATGTTGGTCATCTCGATTTGTGTGACAGCCATATGCTATAGTGCTCCGTTATCGGCGGTTTCAACAAATGAGCAGTTTCTCAGTAGTATAAGCGCGTATGCAAAATTTCAGAATGATGCCTCGAAAACTGATGGATTATTGCGGTGTATAAAAAACATGTATGTATATTTGAAAAACCCCCTCTCCTGTATATAATYGACGCAGGTCAAATTTGTTCTGTCAATTACTAAACCATTTCATTTTATTTTTATCTATGTATTTCTCTGATAGGTATGATGAATTTATTGCGCTTTTTTCCAGCAATATTTTGACTGGCTTCGAGGTAGTTTACTATTGCACAGATAAGATTTAATCTAATCAATATGTTGTTGGGTGCATAGTAAAGAAACTAGCTGATAGCTTGGCTCAATTACTTCATTTAAAGCATTTGTAGTGAGAAAAATAAAATTATTTATAGCTTTCTTGTATAGCTGCTAATCGTGCTTTAAGAAAAACCTAGTTTCTGCTGCTTTATCTCTGATTGAAAAATGTCGATAATTTGATAAATGTCATGAAAAAAAACTCTACTAAGGCCATAAATCCGTAAAATTAACCATTACGGTCTGGCTGTCACTGATGTATTTGACGTTATGTTAATTAAACAGTATAAAATTTAACTTAGAATGACAGCTATGAGCTTCAGATGACAGCTGTCAAATGTGAAAAGTGAAAAAGTCGAAAACTGGTCACTTGATTTTAGTTTGTGAGCTTCAAATGACAGCTGTCAAATGTCAAAAGCTAAAAGTGCGAACAAAGTTATTATTTCGACAAATCTCTGGCTATATACAGTTGTGCTCMAAATAATAGGAGTGCCGCACAATATAAWATACGAAGTTATGTTTTTTAACAAAAACATGAATTTTATTCATTTATTTTTATCGACGAACTGTTCATTTTATGCAGTCTTATTATGCACTTTTAAATTTTTAGCAATACTTTGTAAACGAAAAAAAATATTATTTACATAAAAACCTCAATAATTCGGTGTTCAAAATAATAGGAGTGCATCACAAAATTCAATAAAACTAATAATAAGTTAAAAAACTGGAAATTATGACTAGTATATAAGATAGTTTAGTTAATATTTAGTCGAGTAACCGGCATTTTTAATTACTGTAGCACATCTGCGGGCATAGAATCGATCAGATCACGACATCTTTTCAGCGGCATTTGCTGCCACGCCTCTTGGACTGTGCTCTATAATTCCCTTGTATTTGATAGTCTACTATCAGCTACAYCTTTTTTAACATCTGTCCATAAATTTTCTATYGGATTAAGGTCAGGCGACTGAGCAGGCCACGTTATGTCGTTTACTTTATTGACCCGAAACCATTCTTTTGCGGACTTACTTGTACGTTTCGGGTCGTTATCTTGCTGGAACAACCACTTTAAAGGCATATTCCATTTCGCATATGGCAGCATAACTTTTTTCGTTATATCCACATACACGTACTGATCCATGGCTTCTTTAATTAGATGGATTGGTCCCACGCCGTTGTACGAGAAATTTCCCCAAATCATTACTTTTGCACCACCATGTTTGACAGTGGTCACAGTGACAAGGGTGTATTGCAGAGTATATTCCGTATTTGGTGGACGACGGATATAGCGACGGCGGTACAGCTAGACCCTGYGCCACCAAATAAAACTACCTTACATTCGTCTGTGCACAAAATATTTCTCCATTTCTCCGGTTGCCAGTTGACATGTTCTTTGGCAAATTGGAGCCGTGCTTCAATATGCTTCATTGTCTACAATGGAACTTTTCGCGGACTCCGCGCAAATAAATTACATTCCAGTAGACGTCAACGAACTGTTACGTCACTAACATCAAGATTTAGACGCTTCTTTATTTCTCTAGACGTCGCTTTGGGATGTTGTTTAGACGACTGGAGTATGCGTCGATCGATTTTTTTTGGTAGTTTTACGTTTTCGTCCACGAGTTTCGAATTTATTTTTGTAGGATAAGGCATTTGATATCATTTGATCAGAACACCCGAGTATTACTTTAATTTCTTTATAAGCTTTCCCGTTTTTTCGCAGATTTTTTATGATTTCACGATTTTCGTCGCTGCAGTGCTTTCCTCTACCCACTAATTAAAATAAATGACTTAGCTGAATAAAGTTATATTTAGTAACAGTTGAATTTAATTGTGTCGGGAATGTTTTTAAAAAAATTAATAGTCATTACAACAACCAATGAAGCTTTGCTTACCTATTTATTATACTTAT